AATCATTAAAAAGATTAAATTTAATAAACTTTTTATTTTTAAGAAACAAAAATTGGTAAAAATGTTATATATATATAAAAAAGCAGTTATTACTGGTAATCTTTGAGGCTCCTCACTATCACATCTCAATATCTAATAACCGTTTTTAATAGCTCATACTGACAACATTTGTAAATGTTGTATTCCAACCTGCGTGAACCAAGTTTATGCCAAGGACAAAACAAAATCCGCAGCTGCTGCTTGGCCAAATAATTCTGGAAAATCCATATTTAAACAAATAGCTCCGCTCACATCCAATTTATGCAATTCTTTTTTACTTTTTGTTTCTATTTCTGCATTTACTACTTTTAGCTTACCCAAACCACTTTCAATAGAATAAGATTCTGTCCAAGGAACGGGATGAGTCTTTTGCTATTCAAGTAATATTGTATTGTTTGGCTTGACAAATCTTAACATGTTTTTTTGTGACTGTTATCTCCAGTTGGAATCGTATATGTCAAACCCAAATAAAATTTATGTGTCATTGTAATTCTATAAGCTTTTTCTAACAAATCATCAAGTTCATCATCATTTCTTAATACTAATGCAGACTCACTCTATACAATCTTTGCTTGAAGACCAGTCGAGATAGTTACAGTTTTTTTTAACATTTCTTGAGAACTCGTGTTGTGAGTGGGAAGAATACAACCAACTCTCTCATAAAGTATACAATTAACATTACTCTCTATGTGTTTTAATCTTTTGACACCTATAAAGTAGAAAAATAGAACTGCTACAAAGATCAAAATACGCAAATAAAATTCACAGTTAAATCATCCTTATACATCTTGAGATTATTTGATGGTTGAGGTTGCTCAATTTCAGAGATCAAAAGTGTTTCTGTTATTTGATATCTAATTTTAGGTGTTGACTGAGTAATAATAAAAGTTCAAAGTAGTATTAAAGATAGAAATGATAATGGTGATGAGAAGGTCAAAGTTTTTTTATGTTTACCTACGTCTTCACCCAGTGTTGGCATATGGGTTGATTGCTAGGAAAATCAGGTTCTGGGAATTTTTTAGCAAAATTGAGATTTTTATTGCATTTTAGTT